GCTACTACTGAAAAGGCTCTCCTCCGCGTAGTTGCCAGTCGGCACTGACTGGCGGATGGGACGCGGAGGAGGGCTAATCTGTGTGATCTAATAGGTCGCAAGGAGGTAATTGGCAGGAGGCGGTCTCTCAAGTACCCAGATCACCGCTTTTCCGGTCACCGCTCAAGATGAGAGAGAGAGAGATAGAAATGGACATCCAAGAAACTAATATTCCGTGTAGGGATAAGTAAAAGGTGAAAGATGAGTAGGAGGACTCAAACAGGATGAAGAAAGGCCCTCCTCAACTTCAAGTAGACTCAGGAACCATCTGAAATGACCTGGAAAGTTCTCCCTCAAAGTCCGGCTCCCTTAAGATGGCAACCTTCGTGGAGACATTTTCACACTTCAGAGGCCAAGGTGTTCAGCCTGTTAACTTCACAATTTGTTCCAGGCAAGAACAAATTTCATAAGACTGATTTTCATAAGAAGGTAGCACCAGGGTGCAATGGAGACTCACACCACCGCGTGGGTGTTGGTTGGGATTGTGCTCAAACGGTACGATTAGTTCGCGCTAACCAGCTTTCTCATTATGGCTGATGGATAGATTTCTCCCCCCCCCCTTCCAAGTCACAGCTACCTTGATGGCAACCGCTGTACAAATCGATATCCCAATTATTCTTTTTAAAGTTCCCAGTGATCATTTTAAAACGGTCCCTCCTTCCACTGCCCTTAAGGCTAAGGTAGCTTTTCATTACGAGACTGATCTAACAACCGCATTACACTGCCCTTATGAGACTACATTTCCCATCCTCGCCAGGGAGATGGTCATGCTGGCCAGGGATAATTGAGGCTGGAACAGTAGTCACCAACTGTTGGTCTGTGGCCCACTGGGGGTCCACGAGAAAATTTTGGTGGTCCGCAGAAAAACTATTTGCATTTTTTATATTGCACTAAATCAGGGGTACTCAAACTACGGCTGAATACGTGCATTGCAGAGAGTTTCCCCCTTTGGGGTCTTTTTGTGCAGGTTGGAGGGGGGAAGAAATTCTGATTTAGGGTCTGCTTCAGCCTCCTGGTGGGGGGCTTTGGGTGAAGGCTGGAGGGAAGCACCGCTGGTGGCAAAGAGCCGGAGGGCCTCATTCCAGTGGGACTGCATCATGGCCTGAAACTGGCTGACCATCTCAGCCTTTTCAATTTGCAATATAAAAATGGCCTAAACTTTTCTTTGTGCTTGGAAACCCCTCCTGGACTTTATGCTTGAGATGGGCAAAAAATGAAACTTTGATTTATTTATTTTTTTCTTACAGATTAGGTAGGTTTGTTGTTATAGAAGTGGCTATATAAATAATATACCACATACCTCCCAATGGCCGATAAGATCCCACAGGGTGGGCCTCCTTCGGATGCCGTCAGCCAGTCAGTGCCAGCTGGCGGGCTCCCGGAGAAGAGCCTTCTCTGTGGCTGCTCCGACCCTGTGGAATCAGCTACCCCCAGAGGTCCGGACCTTACCCACTCTCATGGCCTTCAGGAAAGCCGTTAATAGCAATAGCAATTGCAATAGCAATAACAATAGCAGTTAGACTTATATACCGCTTCATAGGGCTTTCAGCCCT